TATATTAGAAAAGATATTATGTACAACTTAGAGCACAAGCATGAAATTATATATATATATATATATATATATATATAATTAATTAATTAACAATATAAATGTCATATAAAATTAACTGGAAAGATTTCTTTTGATGAAAATTGGTATCAGATAATCTCTACCAATTTTTTTTTATTTTTATAATAATTTCAAAATATTTAATTAAAATTAAAATTTCAACTTGCATTTTAATTTTATTAATTATTTAAATTTTGATAAATTGTTTTTAATTTTTCTTAGGGTGTTGGGCATATGAATAAGTAAAAAAAAAAAAGGTTTAGAAGCTTGCTAATTTAACAAATAATTAAGTATACAAAAAATATTAGCTGTGGTCTTTGAATATATAAATTTATATAAAACACATTGTAGGTGGCATTTAGTAAGGCGACTTATTAGAAATTATTTTTAGCAAAAAATGGATAACCTTTTTTTAATTTAATTGATTCAATTATAAATAAAAATTAGATTCAAATAATTTTTAATATTTTCTTTTCTTAGAAGTGTAGCATTACTCTATAATTTAATAATTTGTCACATTATTTATTTATTAAAATATTTCTTCTTGTATTAATGGCAGAGATGATTAATTGACTTTATAATATTTATTAGGGTTTATGAATAAGTTTTGAGTTGCTTGCATGATTTCTGCCTAAAACAAGAAATAAAGTTGCTTTCATGTTTGGGGCATTAATCTTATTATAGAAAAATTTACAACTTTTTTAATTTTCAGATTTCTATTTTTACAATACAAATAAATTAAGAATGTAAATTTCAATTATAATAATTTTAGATTAAGATAAGTAAAAAAAATTACATTCTGATTAAAATATGAAATAAATGTAATAAATTTTAATTGATTTTTAGGTATTATACTGATCTTAAAAAATCAATAAATTTGAGATTTATTATTATTTAAATTTTGTTATAGTATTTTGATTTAGTTTTTTTTCTTTGTACTATATTTAATTAGAGAGATGAAATTTGAGATTTTTTTTTTTTTGAATGATGAACAAATACATTATAAATTGTGATTTAAACCAATAATCTATGAGAACTATGGATCATTTCACAAGACAAGTTTTTAGTTGCTTGTAAGTTTGAAACTGTAAATCTTATCATGAAAATTTTTAGTAATATTTTTCATAGGGAAAGTTGTCTTTATGTGTGTCATAACATATGTAATTAGTCAAATATTCTCTCTTTGTATTTATGTGGAAAAATATGTCTAAAATGGCTTTACCGCAACGAGGGATAACCTCTTGTATTTACTAACTTTTCATTAAACTTTCAAGCCGGAAACTACTTTGAACCTTTTTTTGAACTTTTATCATTTTCAAGGGCGTATTTGACATAAGTTTATTTTGATACGTGTTTTGGCTCATTATAATCTAACACATCTATGAGTTATCACATTCCTTTCGTTGATTCTATGAGAAATTTCACTCACTCTAAATAATTCATGGTTACGATGATTTGTCCTCTATTATATGATATTTTATCTTGTGGGAATGAGATCCTTGAAGGCATACTTAGCTGTTGTTAGATTATCTCCTAATCTTGCCATGTTGAAATGAAGAAATTATTCTCTGCGGACGTCGAACGCAGCTCTACGTCCGGATGCCACGGTACCGAGTGGTACCGAGCCGCGGTACTCAGGCTAGGTACCAGGCAGTACTGAGCCGCGGTATAATAAATAAATGACATTGTGCATTTTGATTGGTCTCTGGACGGCGTTTGATGTCCGCACAGAATAATTTTTCGTTGAAATGGATCAAAGATATTTATTTTCTATCCACACTCTCTCCTTCTTCTCAAAAGAGTCCATTCATCCTTCAGAGAGGTTCCATTCACCTGTCAGGCTGTCACATGAAGATTATAGATATGATAGTTTTGAATAATATTAATTTATGTAAAACCTGTTGAGATGAAATATTAGGATAAACTCTTATAAAATATATTCAAATTTATTCTATTTTACAGTAACATTAAAATCCAAATATGATTAAAAAAATTCATTCTATTTTTAATGTCAATGAAAACTTAATTATTTCTATAAAAAAATATCAAATATGTGATATCAAAGTATAACATATTAAATATTGATGAAAATAAAAAAAATGGTGTACTTATAGATAAATAAAATTAACATTATATTTCAAATAGAACATGCAACATGATTTTACGTTAGGTGGTGGTCTGACAGAAGTGCGGACGATGGTTGAGGAGGAGCTAGGTGGCAAAAGCGCTCTCCGATCTCTCTCTTGTTTCATTGCTTATGGCTACCTTCCATGAGAAGTGAGTGGTCTATTTATAGATTTTTGAGAGTTGTATGACCATTAAATATAAGGAAGATCATAGGCATATTGGGAGTGGTTTGAATGGACGGCCGATGTTGATTCCCTTGATTGTGAGCCGTCTACCATACATTAGAATGCCTTAGTGATACCAGCATTTAGTGATATTGGGCTTGTAGGATTCGTCTTGTCGAGCTGCTCGTTTTGACTATAAGCATGTCACATTTAAAAATTGCTTGATAATCCAAATTGTAGTTTGAACCTTTCAACAGTGCTTTGGGTCTTTGATTTGGATCTATTTGGGCTTGGATTGAGTAGATTTTGGTGTCGTTGGGTTCGTATTTTCAAGACGTTCAGTTTAACTGTAAGTTTGCTGAAATCAAAGTTTGGATGATCCCAATTTTAATTTATGAAATTTTCAACTTTATTTTACCTCGAGGTTCATGCTCGATCAAGATAATTTTTTGATAATATATCATTTATAAATAAGTAATATGATATACTGTATCATCATATTTTTAATATTTTTATAAAACTAATTAAATTATCATAAAGATTTTAAAACTAAAATTAATTTTCATCATTTTTATAGTTCATGTAATCAAAATATATAATAGAGTAAAATTAGATAATTTATTAATTTTTATATTACTTTATTATTTGATAGTTGACACGATCACCGGTACCAACAGTTGTTTCCAAATGTTTCCAAAAAAAAAAAAAAAAAAAAAAAAAAAAAAAAAAAAAAAAAAAGCCAATTATATTGTTTTGCTCCACCCACATATGGTAATGTATGATGTCCCATTTGTTAGGTCGCATTCGTGGTCACAGTTTTTGGTCTCTCTAATCTAGGCAATGCGCTAATTGCTCTTTTTTGAACTAATTCTCGACTGACCTAGAAGAGGCACTCACCCTAGAAACCTCCTGGCCCGCACTTGATTTAACCCCACTTAAGAGGCACTGCCGCTCGAGGGGAATCGAGCACAGGACACTCACCAACCAAGCTAAACAAAGATGAGTGATTGCTCATTTAACAATCGAGGAAGAATTCATATAAATTTTCATCGGATCTTAATTTGTACCTCTGTTACTTTTAAATATTTAGCAAAAACAACATCTTTGATTTTCCCAAAAAAAAAAAATCAACATATTTGTTCATAGCACGAATTTTTTAGTGGGAACACCACCAAGATAATTAAGGTTTACTATTTTATCCTAATCATGTTAGAATCCTTTGAATGTGTAATTAAATTAAGCTTTGAAGTAACCAATTAAAAAATTTATTAATATGTTAGAAGACAAAATCAAAGCTCAATAATACCACATCAGCTTTTACATTGTCTTAACCTATCTCTACTATACACGTGTACTGGCAACGGTAATGTAAATAGAAACAAGAATTCTTTTGATTACTCTATTATCCTATCTCTTTCTTGCGTTTCTTCACACACAATAATAATAATAATAATAAAATTACGGTTTATTTTTTAGTTGGCTACAAATACCAATATGAAAGGATATTGATAAAGGATGACGCATTTAGTCAATATAGTGTTTAAATTTATAGTCATTAATTATAATTGATTACATTTTCATTTAAGCCCAATTTTCAAATAGCTAAATTATATGAACTTTATGTAACTAATTATTCAGAAAACTCGGTTTAAGCCAAGTTGATCTAATTCAAGTTGAGGCAAATTGGTTTAGGATCGAAAGGAATTCGTCAAGTCTATGTAGCGGTGTCAACGAGTTAGGTTCGGGTCGAACCCGGCTTGATCTGGTTGTAAATGGGTTGACACTAACATGACCCAGTTTTGTAAACTGGTCAGGATTGTCAACCCGGATCCGACCTGTGCGGGTTACTGGGTTGGCCCAACTCGACTTGTGCGGTTAGAAATTAGCGCTCACATGTACTATATGAGTTAGCTGCGTCACGCTATGATTCCGTCGACTCCAACAGACTGGTCATCTAGGACCTAGTTATCTTGACTCACGAGATAACACGATGCTGGCATGACGAAAGGTTTAGGTAGTGCGGCATGATGGCAGCAGACAATAGCATCAACCAGGTAGTACGGCGGCAGTGGCTAGCGGTAGTGCGGGCGAGATTACTACAGCAGCACAGGTCGATGTATTACTACTTTCGAACTCGATCAGGCAAGCGAGACGGCAACTGGCAGCGGCACATGACATGATTTCGGTCTCAACGAACGGTGAAAATGGTACGCGGTTAACGAGACATAAGTCGCGACGACGTGATCGACGACAACGATTCAATCAACGCGACGACGTTGATGAGATAGATCACACCTAGGTTGTTACCGGGTCAACCCGAACCCGACCCGATTTACAAAATGGGTCGGAATTACAAACCCAAACCCGGCCCATATGGGAAACGAGTTGACCTAAACCCGAAATTTTCTGGGTCGGATTCGGATTAGGTTTCAGGTCATGTTTTGACACCCCTAAGTCCACAAATGAATTTATCTCAAGAGTGTGAATTTGGCCTATTAAGTTGGTCCAAGATTGTACTCAAGTAGATGACTTTCTTCATTTGTTAAACAATTTATAGGTAAATTGTTTACTTATGCACGTAAAGTTGGCCATTTGTAATTAGCTCGCTAGAAAACTGCCTTAAGTTGGCTATTCTAATGAATGAATAGCCTCTCACATCAAATTATTAGATAATATATATACGAAATTGAGCAACACAAATATTTTATTTTGTTTTATTTTTTATAAAGTTATATATATGACCAATTATGTAATATTCAACCTCTTACACATACCTATAAATATTTCTCAAAGGGTTGAACTCATGCTATGTTATTTTTTGTACTCGAGCCTACTTCAAAAAATCATAGGGGTCCTTATTCTAAAATTCTTTCCTTCTCTCTCTATTTTCTTATTTTCTAGCAGTATTCTTAGAATTCGTTTGAGACGGCTTTTTATTGCTTCTTGAAGCAGCTTTTCAGTACAATTTTTGTACTAAAAAGCTGCTTCAAAAAGCAATAAAAAAGCCGTCCCAAACGAAACCTTAGTTGTTCTGGCCGAGCTTGTTTAATGGTAGTCTTAGTTGTCCTGGCCGAGCTTGTTTAGGAGTCCTCATGCCTTAATGTGTAGTAGTCTTTTGCAATATTCTTTAGAATGAGGGACACTAAGGAGTATTGACATATAAAGAGATTGGTGAAAAAATGAAGTTGTAAAGCTTAAGAAGAAGTGAAAGAAATGAAAGAAAAGTCAAGGTTGTGAAAATTTGACTTGACAAATCAGAAGAAGAATATGTTAAAAGTTCGGCTCATTCAATCAATCAGATTAAGATTAAATCAGATGATGTAATAAATAATAAATTATTAAACAAATAATAAGATAAGCATAATAATAATGTTATTATTTCAAATATGAGATAAAAAATTAAATGAAATAGAAAAACTATGAAATATAAAATTTACAAAATTAATTAAGTGAATTATTTTTAAAATATCACATAAGAGAAAAAATTATCAAATCTCACAATTCTAGAAATTTACATTATAATAATATATTAGTAATTTATAATTTATATTACATATTTAATATAAATTTAATTCAAATATAAGTTTATGAATTTAATAATAAATTTATTATTTATTATATTTATGTTTAATTATATTTTACATCTATATGTTATAATACCTATTATTTTATAAATTTTATATTAAGAATTATTTATGTGTATATAATAAATTATCATTACAAATAGATAAAGGAATTTTTTCATAGTGTGTAATAAATAATTATATTGATTTAATTAATAAATATATTATTCCACATTATAATAAATAATTAAATCTAGTTAAAAATGAATTTAACTCGCACATTAATTTATGTTAGTGAGCTCATAAATCCTAACTCGTATTTTATTAGTTCACATCATTGAAACTCTTTTTTGTTATGAGTATATATAGTTTTTTGAGTTTTTTATTTTGTGTTAAGTGCTCACATGAATGGTGGAGCATAATGCCATGTGAAAGATAGTTCATTGGTGGTTTGGGCAAAGTAAATATAATTAACTTCATGCTAATTTAAAGATAAATATTTAAATAATAATTTATTTTTTTTTATTTTATAAAATTACTTTAATATGATAAATTTAATGTATTTAATTATTCCAAAATGGGTAATTGGAAATGATTGTTTCAAAAGAACGTGCCAGGTTCTCCAGTGAATTCAGTAAGTTTTGCATCGGTTTCATTCATGTTTGATGTAGAAGCGATTTTCAAAGTGGACTGGAACGGCCTAGTGATCGGTTCACGGTTGAACCGGACGGACCGACCGATCCGATCCATTTTTTAAAAGCTTGGGAAAAGCATTTAAATGTAAAACATTGATCCCATATTCATAGTTAAAGAATCTACTTAAAACGAACGAAATGATAATATTAGAAGTCAAAATCAAATTGCTTGATAAATAATCATATTAAATAAAAATTTAAAAAATGTTATAAATAATTATTCAATAATATATTTATATATTCTTTTATTCTTTTTTAACAAATATCCAAAGACATATAAGAGAATAGAGGAATAAAATGTATAATCAATTTTCAGAAAATTTGGTTTAAGTCAAGTTAGTCCAATTCAAACTAAGTTAACCTGATCTCAACTCTAAACGAATTCACCAAGTCTACAAACGCATTCTTGCGAATCATCCCAATTTATCGAGTACTATTCAATTCAACCATAGTGATTCCTCAAGTTGACAATTTCCATCGTATGAGAAATTATTGATCGACAACTCGTATTCTTAGGCAAACTAAGTCAACGATTTCTTATTAGCTCGACAAGTGACTTTCTAAATCCGGGGTATTTTAATGACCTGACAGTTTGACTTCATCAAATTAATGCTAGCAAATACATACATAGGTGCATTATAGATAAACTCAAGTGATAGAATTTTTTGTAAAACCTATTTAAAAAAATCTAACAACCTCCCACTTAAATTTTTTTCCTCTCTATTTTCATATGTTGTTTTCATTCAATACTCTTAGTGAAATTTGGTGTGCTTAATTACAAATTTGCATTCAACAAAGTGCTTCTCCTAATCCTGATTATAAGTGATAAACAACTAATTTAAGTTTTCTCACTAATCACAGCTTGAAATTTGCTAAATTTTAATGATTATAAAGGATTGCAAAATATAATCATATTTTCATTCAATAAATATTTGGTTATAAATTGATGAAATAAATCAAAATTAGCTCATATTTGAAATATATATTTAGAGCAAATGTATTCTCCTACATGCCTTCGTAGGTATATAGCAGTTAGGTATCCAACAGGTCATGACTGAGGAGCTCACTCTTCATGGTGGCGATGTGTGTTTGGAGATAATAAAAAGACTCGCCCAACCAAATTAATAAGCGTCACTTGCCTAGGTCCCCAAGCAACTCAACTCACATGGGACAACTTGAAGTCTCCTTATCAAGTTTGAAATTCAACATCTATTAAACAGGCTAATCCCACTATCAACCACTCGCTCTCCCTCAAAGGAACATACCTTCGTCCAAACTGAGATGCAAGAAGAGTCTATCAGGTTTCTAATCCACCATATCAACACCTACTATACGTCAACTAAATTCGTCAACCACCACAACTTGCTCGCCCATTCCCTCACAACGACTCAAGGTTCATCATAGGTACCTTGTGATTTCTAGTCAGCCTCATGTCATCAAATTCACCCGATACCACAGAGCTCGCCCCTTTCAAATTAATTCTCCCAATGCATACTCGACACCATCTCACTCGCCTAGAGAAGAAATCTTCAGCCCCAACTATCCCTCTTGGTTCAAAGAGCAACAAATGTTTAGAATCATTGTGTAATGCTCTGCATGTGGATTGTGTTGAGTTATATATATTTTCCTTTATGTAGTCTTTTTTGTAGCTCCCCATAATACTATAAATAAGGGGACATAAGGAACATTGAGGGTGACTTTTTCCTTCTCTCAATAGTAAAAATTTAGCTAGTTTATAAGCTCCAATCCTTTAATCACTTTGTAGATCTCCTCGTCCTTACAAACTTCATTATTTTTTCTGATTCAAGTTCCTACGCATCTACTTACCTAGCCGGATTGTAAGTAAAGTCGGGTGTGGTTCACTAACAAATTCGAATTCAATAGGATTTCATTTTTATTATTTGATTGTTTTATGATTTATCTCTCTCGTCTTGGTGTTATTAAGAGAAACTAAAGTTTCATTTGGAACAACTTTCTTACTACTTTTTAAAATAATTTTTTAACATAAGAAATTTAATATTTATACTAGAAAGTAACTTTAAGAAGCAGTAATAAAATCGTCCCAAACAAAGCTTAAAAATAACATTAAAAAGACATCATGAGAATAGAAAGCATATCTATATGTTTAAAAATTTATAAATAAAAAGTATGATTTTATAAATTTGTCCATTAGTATAATAATCTCATAAAAATAAATAAAATTATTTTGATGCATGATTTTAAAATTTTAAATTTCTATTAAAATTAATATATGAATTATATTAAATTTAATATAAATTTACAAAAAATTTGAAGTATATCTAAAATATTTCATAATAATTTTATGCAATGTTTCCTACATAAACCTTCATTCTCATTTCTTCCGCGAAAACAAAATCCGCAGGGACAACGTAAGATTCCCGCATTCGTACGCTTATGCGCTTGTGATTTTAAAATTTGCCGGAAGTCACTCTCGAACTCCGAGCCAGGCCGGCAGCTCGGCATCCCTCTTTCTCCATCTCCGCCCGGAACTCCGGAAGTCAACCTTTCCCTCGCCAACAATGCCCCGAAAGCAGAAGATTCCAGTAGAGGCGAAAGACCTAACCCGCTTCCTCAACTCCACTGTCGGCAGCTTCGTGCTAGACCGACTCCTCGACCGCGACCGCCGCCTCCGCCACAAAGAAGACTGCGCCGAGCGTCTCGCCGCCGCCGCCTCAGCCGGAAACGAGGTCGGATATGCCGATCAGGCAGTCCTTGCGAACCTTGATTGGGGCATCGATGCTCTCGAGGATGCCATCGCCACATCCAATCATGAGGCTAAGCTCGCTCGCCTCGACCACGCCGAGCGGATGCTTCAGGTCTGCGCCATGCTTGATCCCGTTGGCTCAACGGCCGGCGTTCCAAACTCCTATCTCTGTGCCTGGGCCCATCTCCATCTCGCCTGCCTCTCGCGCCTCCGTGATAACGCTACCGTCTCGCGGGCTGCTACACTACACGCGCTCGAGATGTTCGATGTTGAACCCTTTTTCGCCCGCACGGATTTCGCGCCTGACCTTTGGGAGTCGATGTTCCTGCCGCACATGGCGTCTATCGTGGGATGGTACTCAGAAGCGCGACATCGGATCGTAATGGAGGTGATTCCGGACGCGGCGGATCTCTCGATGACGACGGCTGATTTCGGAGAGCAGCTGTTTAACGAGTCGGTGGTGGCGGCGGTGAGGCCTGACCAAGCGGAGAACCTGCGCGAGTTAGAGATGGAGTATGGGGAGTCGCTTGATCGGAGCACGAGGGTATACGCCAAGTATTACAAGGAGATTCTCAGCCATGAGTCGCCGGAGATGCAGACATCTACTGGTAGAAAGGGCATGCCGGCGCTGCCGCCGATCGCCGAGCCGCCAGTGACGCCGCAGCACGAGGTTAGCCGCTCGATCCCCGATTTCGTCAAGTTCGGGCCCATCTTGCCGAAAAGCGCCGGCTTTGCATTCGGGAAGAGGGACGCCGGGGACAGGGTGGGCTCCAGTCATGATAGGTGAGTCGATTTCGCAATCAAGAAAATTGGAAACTTTTTGTGTTTATTTGAAACTCCTAAAAGCACTGAAATCGAACGAAAATTGAAAATAGTTCTTCAAGCCTCAACATACTTATTCCTCATGCATTGCGGCAATCAAGAAAATTTGATTTTCACGAGGCAATTTAATTAAACAATCATTCTGTTTTTGGATAGTTGAAAAATAAGTTGTTGTAGAATAGTAGCGGTTTTGCCATTAGTATATTAGGCTTATCTTTCATTCCCTTTAGTTCACCTTGGTTAATGAGTAGTAATATTGACAATGGTTTGTCCAAGTTCAAGTTCTTCCTGCGATTTATGGCTCTCAAGGCCTTCATGTCCGTCAACCATTATTGAGAAAAGTTCCAAATGCGAGTGATTCTCATGGAAGCTCTATATAATCGAGCTTTTAGTGGAAGTCACATTATGCCAATTGGAGTCTTCCATTTGAGATGAATTTGGAAAAAAGGAAATCAAGATTGACTGCTGTGAAGGTGAACACAATTAAGGAATAGTGTTGTCCATGAAATGTTATCAAGGTTCGGAGCTTCATGGGAACATAACATGTGGGAGGTTCCCGCAACATTCAATTCTCGCTTAATCTGTCCACCCTCTAACTATTGCTAGTAAAAATGTGTGGGAAAAGAAACATCAGGACAATGAATGCTGAAATTGGAATTAATCCCAATTTAATTTCATATTGGAGGGGATTGGGGAGGCTTCCTAAAATAGGTTTATTAATTAGGAAATGTTTTGAATTTCAAATTTAATTTGAGTTCAAATTAAGATACTTTCCAAATTAATAGTAAGACAAATTAGGAAGGTGTTTAAGAGGCCAATTGAATTTGAAACAAGGGCTTGGAGGAGGAGGGGCCGGCGGCTTGAGGAGGGAATTAAGGGATTGAGATAGATTGCCAATCAGTGCCAATCTAAATGGAGAAAGAGGCTTTAATGCAATTGTCTCTCAAAATTAAATTTGAATTTAATTAGCCTTGATTGGAGGGACTTTCCTAATATAACTTTTCTTATTTTAGGAAAGAATTTCAAATTCGGAATGAATTAAAATATGAAATTAAAACCTTCCTAATTTAAGATACATCACATATGGAAAGTAGTCAATCAGGTATTTGAATTTATTTAATGGACATTGATTGGAAATGTAATTAGGAGCCTTAATGGAAATAGGATTTAGAGAGGAGAGAGGTAGGGCCGGCGGCTAAAGGAGGGTGGGAGGAGTTAGGAAGGATTTCAAATAGTTTCTAAGCAAAGCCAATTTAAGTAAAAGAGATTTAATGTCCATATCTCTTTTAATTTGAATTCAAATTCAAATTGATTTGATTGAGAAACTTTCCAAATATAACTCATGTTAAATTATGATAGAATTCAAATTTGAAATTTATTCAAGATTGAATTAATATCCTTCCAAATTCGTCATGATCAATTTTAGGAAAGTTGTAAAACTGGAAAATTTGGAGGCAAAGGAGGGGAGATGTGGCTGGCAGCTAGGAGGGGATTAGGGTTAGGGCCGACGGCTAGGAAGGAGGAGAGGTGGAGGCCCTGGCGGTTAAGAGGAAGGGGAAGGCTTTCTGCGGCTGATGGATAATGCTTTGTCCTCACCTAGGGACTTCAAAGCTCGAGCCTGGACGCTTTTTGTGGCTGGTGGGTAATACGTTGCCCTCACTAAGGGACTTCATCTCTCATAAGAACTCTAAAAAATTTTAAAAACAAAGTGCCAGATTTTTTCTTAATAATCATCCCCTCAAAGGAAGAGGATTGGGGATATAAATAGCCAAAATACAATAATAAGACAAATGACAAAAGTGCCCCCTGGGATTACATAGGCCTACTCGCTCAAGTGAGGGTAAAAATAAAAAATGCATAAATAAATCAAAATACTAATAATAATTCAAAATAAAGTGGTACAATCATTGCCGTTGATCTTCGGCTCCTTCTCTGATAAACTTTTACGATCGGATGTCCTCATCAACTACCTTGCAAAGGGACACAACTTTGTGTCTCAAATATGGTGACCATTTAAAGTTGATTGAGGAGGCACATATTTCAAAGGTGGTCAAATGCATCCAATCATGTCATACATGGCTCCACCAATCAATCTCCATTCGAATTAAGTTTGAGCTACCTTTCTCAAAGCCCTTTTTGACATGAAATTTATCATTGATTTGCATTAACTATTGTTCAAGAAGGTGCTGGTCTAATAAAAACCCAATGATTTCTAAAATAAACTTGATGGGTTCATGATAAGATGGAAAAGCAGCACAAAATTATAGCAAAAATATGAAAGATGACACGATCATGATTGGGTTTTAAGGAAAATACATAGGATATCTCATCTGGCACCAAATTAGCAAAGAGAGATTTAAAGAAGAGGGTGCTAACTTAAACTAATGTTGTATGGTCCATTCAACATCATAAAAAAGATATGTGAGAATTCCTATTACTTCGACCTTCCCACTTACATGGAGATTTACCCTCATGAATTTGGACAATCTCAAGCCATTTGAACCTTTCTTTGCATGATGATGAGTATTTAGATGTCTTACTCCCCCCCCCCCCCTTGATCTCCCCTTGATAACTTAGAATTAGGACAAGAGAAAGATTGGAGCATGATATGGTTTGAAAAAGATAGACTACCATCACTCTTTGAGGCTTCAAGATACTGTATATTATTGATAGGAAGAGAAAAAGCTTCTACCACCGAATGGTACAACCAAGAATGTGGGTGATAGGAAACACTTGTAGATCTCAAGTATTTCCTATCAATCTTCGGAAAACAACGAGATTTCTCCACACAATCCACACAAATTCCGGAAAACAGTAGATAGTTTGTATTATTTGATGAAAGGGAGACGAAAAATAGCAAGATACAATTGATCCTCTATTTGAGAGGAGGATCTATCTTTCCCAAATCTCTAAACGCCGCTAGAGCCCAAAAGAAAACCTAAACAGTTAATGCCAATTTCAAGATCTATTAAATTTTAGCCAAATTCAAGATGTCCTAACCCTAGGAAAACATGTTAGGATTTAACGGAGACTAAAATAACAAATCGATCGTCTCCGAAAGACATGCTAAATCATCGAGAAGAAGTTTTCGGAAGCGTACCTGAATCCATTGAAATACAAAATCAAGGTCTTTCGATCTTCCACGTTTAGAGCGGCGTTCTCCAAGAGAGCGAGAGACCCCTTCTTTTCACTCAAGATGGGAAATGAGAGAAATGAGAACTTCACCGCTTAAACTGGGGACCATGACCCTTATATACTTTAAGTGTAAATATTTTATTTCAGCCCATCATAAAAATAAAATAAATACTCGGCCTCTACACAAATTAATTCCATACAAATTTAATTGAGATGCCACATAAGCCAAATAATAATTTAATACTCAATTAGATCACAAATTTAATTGGCTTAATTTTAGATAGCATCTAATGTATAATTCTTTATTTATATGTATAAAATATATTGGCCCACATATAGAAATTTCCCAACAAAACAAACTATTTAATGCATACAATCAAAAAGAAAATCTCTAAACAGTCCCTACATTCAAATTTCCCTCCAAACTCCCTAAGAAATCCTTCCAAATTAGCTCTGTAAAGAGTGGGTGGTCGGCTCCTGCGTACAGGAGGCGTAGAATTGTCCACCTATTCCCATAAGCCAATCCCGTATGAACCGGTTGGACTGGTTAGTGGAATTATAAAATTTTTAAAACTTATCGTAGTAATTATTTTAAAAAATTCTATGCATGTTTTGCTAACAAAAAATATGAATTTTCCATTAAATTCAAGCCTAAAAAAGTCAATCGAGCTCGTTACGATTAATATGAATTGAACTCAAACATCATATTAACAAACAATTTCGAACTCGAACAAACCAATTTGAACGAGCCAAACACGAATAGACAGTGAGCTCGCTGAAGTTTTGCTCGTTTAACCCTAGTTTGGATTTTCATGGGGTATAGGATCCTATGAATTTCCTCATGGAGTCTCATCAAACTTGAGAAAGACCCAAGCTTGGGTTGCCTTTGACTTCTATTTTATGTTCTTTTGGTGGTGTCGGGGGATCATGGCACACCTAGTGACTCATTAGATCATGACCATACTTGAGAGTGTCAATATGGGTCCCCCTTAGGGAACATAAGCTGAGATGACTGAGCTAAGCCTGAATGCTCTTCCAAATGATGAGACTGAACTGGACAATAAGACAACAAACGTATCTATCCAAATTCTAATAGCATTCAAGATTGTTCTTACTATACCACCACCAACTTCATATGCCAAAACCATATCTTTTCAAAAAAAAAAAAAAAAGGATTCATTTACTTACCGCCTAATCTTGTTAAGAGCATTAAGTTTCATTTTCAAATTCAAAATGCCACATGGCATTTACATAATGCCAGGTATAGCATGATGTTTCCATGAACATAAATTTGTTTAGATAACTATAATATTAGATTACTTCAGGTCCGAGGTCTTGTTTAGCTCTCTTCGTATTTCTCTTCATCTCGTATATTTATACATAGATATTTAGGGCACGTACTTGAAACTTTTTTTCACGCAGAGGCTATTTGGTTGGCAGGAATGTAGTGTTTAGTAAATTGTTTGCATGTACTTTCAAGTAGTTATCTGAATTAAAGGCGTTCTAGTTTAAAGCAAATGCAGTTACTTTTCACTAAATCAAATTGTTGAAAAGTGCTAATACCCTCAAGAAATTTACTTCACACGTGTGATGCAGACGACTAACTCATAAAAAGCAAAGTTCACGAGCTTTACATTTATTTTTTTAACATATCGTGTGACATATAAACAACCAGGATGGGTGCGGTGCCAGATTCTTCACAGGAACATAATAACTTCAATAGACAGACCTTGAAGGTACGATCTTATTCTCTAATATTTATCAGATAAGAATGTTTTCTACTCTTTGGGAATTACATATTAAATTTCCCTTTTTTGATTGACTAGGAGGACTTCCCTGAGGCGAATTATGATACTAGTGATTTTGATGGCAGTTTTGCTAATGTGGATTTTGATTTTCCTACTTTAAAAAAACTGTCTTCTGAAAATATGATATCAATGGCAGACAAGGGAAGCATCACCAAGGTCAGATCACCAAAAAAGGATCAGTTTGTTTCAGCGAAAAATTCATCATTGGAATCTCCTAGGGCTCCTAGACTCGCGCTTCCTAAATCACTTGCTTTTTCCAAGAAAGAGTTGGAGCAACCTGTTCATGGTGCAGCCAATAAAATCAGTAGTTCTGCACACAAGAAGTTTGCCTCAGTGGACCACCAGCTCAAGGCATCCTCTCCAAGGAGTTCACCTGTAAGGCTTCAAAGAAAAGCAGAACAACGGGCAATACATATCTCAAGTCTCTCTTCAACTTTATCTCCATCTTTCGGGAGTATCTCAGATGAATCTGATGATGATTTGGTACTTATATTTATTCATAAATGTTACCTTTCATCAGTTTTCTCTCGTTATTGTTAGACATTGAAATTTAACATAATTCACATATTTAGGAAATTCGTAGTTGCAGCAACAGCCCTTGCAGGGTTGTGAAGTCTTTAACCAGCCTAACAACTAATATGCATTTATCAGCTCCCAGGCAAGATTAAAAACCTGTTGTATTATAACAGTAAAATGTAGTCAATGCAGAACTTGTTAGGTGTTGATGACTTTCCATAATTGTGATTGAGTTTTGCAGTTTACATTCCAAAGCAGAAGAAGCAAACACTATAAATAGTTCTTCTGTAGAAAAGGCAATGCAAAGAACAAAATCACCAAAGGATTTTGTATGCCCCATCACTGGGCATCTATTCAATGATCCGGTAACTCTAGAAACAGGTCAGACATATGAGAGAAAAGCAATTCAAGAATGGTTGAAGAGAGGAAACACAACATGCCCAATCACTCGTCAATCTCTCTCTTCAAATGTTCTGCCCAAAACCAATTATGTTTTAAAAAGGCTGATTACAACCTGGATGGAGCAAAATCCTGATATTGCATTAGAGTTCTCATACATGGAGACACCTACCGCTTCTCCCAGACCTGTCTTTTCAAAGGAGCAGCTTTTGGAGTCCAACACCACAGTTGATCTAGAATGTCCTCTCTCTTTATCTAGGCCCAATACTATGAAAAATGAGAAAAGAAGTAAACGTTTCATGAGAGGCCCATCTACTTCACCAAGAAGTGTAATATCCCAAGCTGCTAGTGAAACAGTAATGAATGCCTTGAAGACATATGCCTCCTGTCTCTGTACTTCAGAGGACCTGCAAGAATGTGAAGCAGCTGTCCTGAAAATAGCTCGGCTATGGAAGGAATCGAAGTCTAACACAGGAGTTCAAGCTTTTCTATCTTCACCAACAATATTGAATGGATTTCTGGAAATCCTATCAGCTTCTACCAATAGGGAAGCTCTTAGAGCTTCTGTTTACATTCTTTCCGAACTTATTTTGGCAGATGAAAGTATAGCTGAAATACTTAGTAATGTGGACTCAGATTTTGACTGCCTCTCTGCTTTGCTTCTTAATGGACTGGCTGAGTCTGCTGTTCTCATATGCCAACTGCGACCCACATTCTCTCAGATTTCGGGCCATGATATTGTGCAATCCTTAGTTCAAGTAATAATGAGCAAAGGAGAACATGTGGATGACTTCAGTTGTGCAATGGAGCCAAAGAATGCAGCAATATCATTGTTAGAGCAATTACTATCTGGGGGAGATGAGACTAACCGTTCAATAAATGCTTCATTTGTTATTTCAGCAAATGGACTTCCTGCTCTTATCAAGTGCTTGGATCAAATGGAAGGAAGGGCCTCTGTTGTATCAATACTTGTAAGTTGTATGAATGCTGATAAACGCTGTAGAAATTTGATTGCAGGGAGGGCTGACTTGTCCCCTGTTCTGGAACTATTTCATGCTGGGAATGACAATACAAGGAGCGTATGCATTGATTTTATCTCAAACATTATTTGTTTGAAAAGGTGAGCTCATAGGTAATGAGTAAGATTTCTCATCTTCTTCCCCGAGAACATAAATTTTGGCCTTAGATGCTCAAAACTATTTTTGTTTTTTGCCATGTCACAGACCTCAATAAGCACAGCTTTATATAATACTAAACTTGAGTTAATGTAAGTTAAATCTGGCCTTGCTTCTTAACTATAATATATGGTTTTGTGGTAGCCTAATTAATCTCGGATGGCTTGAAAAGCTTGCGTACATTTGTTGTAGTTGTGATTATACCTGTAATGGACAAAAATTAGGAGGATTTCAAGAAATTAACGAGGAAGATTTCATGAATCCATATCAACACACTAATGTAGGCTTAATCATTATGACAGAATTATTGCATT